AGGAAAGCTCACTTATGTCTCTGCTCTGGAAGATGACCCCCTTGCTGCTTCCTGGGGGTGTTTACTATCGTCACATGAAGATATAGTGTAACCATCACTTTGCGTGCTGCACCTTCACAACAAGCCCCGTTAGCAGCCCCAAGAGGCTGAAGTGCTCATTGCACACATTTGTATCTTCAGAGCTATACCCCTACAGCTGGTTTCTAAAAGTTAGCACTTGTGTGTCTTGCTTAGTAAATTACAAGTATCAGTGTCTTAATCTACAGTTTGAGAACTGGCCTTTCAGAGCCAAACAAACCTACTGTGTCAATATCACCAGTTCTCAGAATCCTGGCAAAGACAGGGGGAATTAAGAACTGTTTGGTGCTAGACACAAAGGTTATATGTCCTCACAGTGACTCAGAATCATCCTCTGGAGACTGTGAATATTCACAACAAGTAATTGATCTTTAGATGACTTACTCTGGAGCAACAGGCTGAAAGACCAATATCACCATCCTCAAGCTGCCAGAGTGTCTCGTCACAACTGCTTGTGAAATGGCCGAATCCTTCTGACAAACAACCATACTTACTCCTCAGGGCAATTTAGAGACACCAATCAACCTAAGCTGCATGTCTTTGGACTGTGGGAGGAAGCTGGAGTACCCGGAGAGAACCCACGCAGGCACAGGGAGGGCATGCAGGCCCCACACAGAAAGGTCAGCCGGGGCTCGAACCCGGAACCTTCTTGCTGTTAAGTGACAGTGCCAACCACTGCTCCGCTGTGCCGTCTCGCTTGATCCAATCAAGGCATAAATTCAGCTCTGCTCATTCCCTCACCAAGTGACAGTCCTGAGGGTTCCAAGCAAACCAGACAAAACATATCTGTCATAATCGACCTCTGCCATGAGAAGGGCTTGTTTGTGTTAAGCTGATCACACTTGCTCTGCAAACAGTGTTAGTCATTATTCCCAAAGCTCTTCCTCCTCCTCGTCTCTCCGAGCTGTCCGAGATACTCTGGGCCTGGACCAGAGCCCAAAGCTCTGCTCTGCTGACATGACTGGACAAATTAGTGTGACTTCTGCTAATATATTCACACTGCTGCCAAGTGGCTGCAGAGGACATTGAGCAGTATTAGAAATGATAGGCTTGACTGTCAGCGACACTAACCGCTCATGAAAAGGTGACAGCACATTTGGCCGCTATTTGCTGGGGGAGAGCAAAAAATACCTACTAGTTTATCTTTGGGGAATTTTGATCTTTAATTCATACGGGATGTGGAAAATGTGTTTGGTCTGTTCACATCTCAAATGAGCCATTCTGAGGAGAGGAACATGCCATGGAGATCATCTCACGCCACCTCGCCTTCTACACTTTGATGACTCTGTGCTTTCTGAGCGCCAGCCCACTCAATGACAAACTGTCCTTTCATAAAAAGCTCAGAGAGGAACAACTCTCACCGCTCCTGTTGAGCGCTTATGCACGCAAATGCTGAATATTTGAGGCGACTCCTGGATGTGTTTTATGCAGACAACATGTGACAGGCCTGAAATGAAGCCAGGGTAGATATGAAAGCAGGCACTGTCTGTCAAAACCAGGAAGTAATCAACCCCCCCATCCGCCTCAGGGGCCCAGCTGAAAGTCATTACCCCAGAACAATGTGCTGCTTCTACAGTTAATCTGAAAGAAATAATAATGTAATAATACTTAGGAGAATTACCATAACGATATGAGAGGATCGCAATTATCTGCCCACTCTGTAGAAGGCTGGAGCTCGGTCACTGTCAGGGGTGTGGAGCAGCTTTACTCCAGGAATGTTTAGGGAAAATTGGTCAGCATTTAGGTTCCAGGCTTGATTGTAATAGCCAACAGTGGTTACCCATATCTAATCCTATTAGCGTTTGTTTAGAATATGAGATGAAAATCATGAGATATGAAAAGAGCATTCAAAAATCATGAAACTACATCCATATGCTTTCAGTGTTTGGCGTTTTATGTTGCTTCAGCTTACTGAAATAAAATACACAGATGCACTAAGATGTGTTGACACTGCTCTAGAAAGTAGAATTTAAGTAAAGGAAAACAAATCTACTCTCTGTGAGCACTACATGAAGAAATGCACAGAAGCAACCGGTAAAAAAAATCACATATCTACGGTATTAATCTGCAATATTACAAGCACAAGTATAAAACACAATTTGATAAAAACAATATTAATATGTACACCTGACTAATCTGTAGCACGTGCACTCAACATGATCTATATGTCATGTTGTGAGGTGACATGAAGACCCAGTCTCCACCCAGAACTGACCTGAGTCTCTGAGGCTATGTTCAGTGTGAGCGGAGAAGCTCTGCTCATACAGGATGACAGTCTGAACTGTGTAGTCTGAGTCTCTGAGGCTATGTTCACTGTGAGCACCATCAGTGTGAGCGGAGAAGCTCTGCTATACAGGATGACAGTCTGAACTGTGTAGCGTGAGTTGACACAACCTAAAAGGTGAATGAATGTGGCACAGTGTCTACCCAGCTGATTACAGTAGCTAATTTGTGAAAAGTGGCCTCACTTCACTCTTTAATGTTTGTCTCCTACGTTACTACCCGTGACCTGGGATGCACGTAGCAGATTTGTTGACACGTCAAACCACCTCACTGAGCTGATCACGTGGAAAGAATAAAGTTAACAAGAACATAGGTGTACATCTGATCAGATGTCACTGTCCAGGTGACATGTCTAGACATAAACTTCAGGTTAACTGTACTCAAATATATAGAACCATATCATTTTAAATGCAGGGTTGGTGATTTGGAAAAAACAGCAAGAGGAAGCAGACAATCAAAGAAATCCCACCTTCTGATACACTGCTCTCACAGTGTCACATGTTTTAGTTAGTAAAAAATGGATACAAATCATTCACTCAGAGGAGAAACCCGACAATAAATCTAAATAAATTCATGTTAATTTGTCCTTGTGATTCAGACAGGACAACTGAGCCTCTAATCTGTCATCAAGATACAAAACCTGGAGGTGGTCGACCGGCAATAAATTACAGTCTGGATTTAAGGATGTACCCAGTGAATTCCCAGTAAAAGCTTTATTTAATTTCTATGCTGAGCAGAAAGATGCTCCTGTCTCATGAAACCACCCTGGGTGTCATCTGACCATCCACACTGCTGCTTCAGGATTCATCTCCTGATGACACACTGGAGACTTCTTGGTGCGTTGTGGAATATTTTCAGAGTTTAACTTAAACAGTAACAGTGTGAATTCAAACTTAAGACTGAAGTTTCCTCTCAGGACTACAGCGCAGTAATAATGTCACCTCTATTTAATAGGTTTCATAGCAATCATCCAGACAGGCATGATGATCTCAGGGAAGCCTTGCTGCCTCTCGACACCCAGGACTTCCAGGCCGGCCTTGGCGATGATGCTCCTGATGATGTCTAGGTGGCGGCTGATGCTACTGTCGATGGGGTCCAGTTTGCAGCCCTGTCGCGCCATATTATCCTTTATTATGATGATGCCGTTTGGTCGCAGGCTCTTCTTACAGCGAAACAGGAAGTTCATTAGGTCTTTATCTGTCAGGTGACCTGAAAGGGAAGGCAGATAGGGAATAAAAAGAGAAACAATCACAACTGAGCCACCATTCGCCGCAGAGATCTGTGTTTCCATAGTTTTCTTAGTGGTGTACTGAGAACTTGCACCGGAGTCAGCAGCACTTGACATAACAGCGTTTATACAGGTTTCTGTAATGAGCAGACTGTAGAGGCTCTCATACTTACAGGCCACCCACTGCATCCAGATGACGTCGTACTTGTTTTTTGGAGGTGTGAACTCTTGCAGAGTGTAGCAGTAGTAGGTCTCAATGCGGTCAGCTTCGTCACACAGGTACTTCTTGTGTGCATGCAGCAGGAAGTGCTCCATCATGTCAACCAACTCTAGTTTCTCAAACACAGGAAGGAGGACGCCTTTGGTGACACGGCCGATCCCGCAGCCACAGTCCAGGGCGCAGTGTGTGCCAGCTTTACCAGGACCCTGTGGATGAGAACGCACTGGTATAAAATTCCACCTTATTTGGAGGTTTGTCTAGAAGATAATGTAATAAAACTGTGCTAACCACAAAAAGCATAGGTTTCACAAAGAATAAAATGTGCATTAAACTGTCAGTTTCCCTGCAGCATGTTGTTATCATCCCTGTAAGTCATACAGGGGTCTAACCTTTGTTTTCTGTGCTGCCAGGTGTCAGGCCTTTGTGCCTGACAGCACAGGCAAGAAGGCTTGATTTCCTCAGGGCAATGAAACTATGAACTTTACCACAGGAGCAGAAAGAGTCACCTCACTTGAATCCCGCTGGTTTTTCTTCCTTCTGACCTCACTCCAGCCCCTCCACACCAGAGGCCCCACTATGTGCTTGTATGAAAGATGGGGCCCTGAGGAGCTTGGCGCCTGTTACAGAAGGCTTCCCAGTTTCTGTGAAGTATTGCCATATTGTTCTGTGCATATGTAGCTCACGTTAATCTGGTTGTTCTTTTTTACCACACTCTATTTTTAATGAAGATGTCAGGTTTAAAGAGGCGCTGTTCACAGCCAAGAAGGAAACCCTGAAAGATTCAGTATGTAGCTGAGCACACACCTGTAGAAGAGTTGGTGGAAGAGAGCTGTTCTTGGTTTATTTATCAGGGTCTTTGCACTCAGGTGAGGAGGTAAAAGTGCAGGGTGCAGCAAACAAAAGCAACTTTAATTCCTGATGAAACTACACTACATGCAGACAACATCCTAACAAGAAACACAAGTGTTAATGTGTTGTGAAACAGAGAACTTTTGAAAACTGACTTTTAACACATTCAGTGTGCTATATTGCATTAGCCAGTAGTGGTGAACACTGCATCACATGAGTTGTGTTGATGCAGGGTTTGTTGTGTTTACATTAGCACTAGTGGAAATGCAGCCGTTTAGCCATCTAGTCATAGCACTTCATAATTAGCGCTCCTGTAACACTGATCCTGTAAGACACCTGGTCTCCAGGCCAAACTATTTTCCTGGATTAGCACCCGGACTCTCCCAGCATTTAAAAACAGCCTCCAGGCTGTGCTGACATGTCTATGAAAAGAAAATGCATCATCATTGGTCAGTTATACACACACACTGCAATTTGTGAAATTATAGAAGTTTCTCAACAGGAACCTTAGGGGACAAATCTGAAGATCAGAGGAATTTCTTGCTCCTCTTTCACAATGAACAAACAAGTGCTAGTAAAAATCAGCAGTAGAAGCTGATTGACAGCTATTGGCTCAGCTGGCTCAGTGCGGGTGTTTACGGGGCTGTGCTACTATTAGAACGTGCGCTGAGGCCTCCTCGCACATGAGACAAGATGTTATTGTTTTGATGCAGTCAGGGTGGCGGTTTCCTCATTAAAATATTGTACATGGTTAGAGATGGCTACAACAGTGTAAATCAGTACACGGGTGGGCAGCGCAGCACAGTAGTGTGTAGTGATGAAACAACAGAGCTTCTCAGTGTTACAGAACAAGTTTCCCAGATGTCTATCAGCCTTTAACCTGTTAAAGTTGACTCACCACAAACCTCTTCAGAAACTGCCGGGAACCCTCCAGATCGACGTTGGACATCTCAACATAATCTCCCATCATGCCCTTCTCTGAGGCAGGGACGTCCTCATAGAACTGCTGAGCTCTGTAGTAGAACTGTTTCTCTCCCTTGATGTACTCACAGGTGAGCGGGAACAGCTTCACTGTTGGGCCACATGAACAGAAAGACAACAGACGTGAGGTTAAAGGCAGGGTAATTTGATACAGATGTGCAGGGCTGCACTCAGAAACTAGTTCAATCTCAAGACTGAGTCTAAATGAGAATCAGGTCTGACTTAAGACCAGTCCAAATGCACCTGAGTCTGAGGCTGACATAAAAAAAAGACTGTTGATTAATCTTTATTCATCATACTGCCTGTGACTGTTGTCCTGAACTGTCACAAAATCAGACTTGAGCACTGCAGGTCATGCATGTACAGTACATAGATGTTTGGCAATCAAGAATTTTAAAACCATTTTCACATTGCCTGGTTGTGACAAACTACAAAATGTAGCCTCCAGTTCAAATCTAGAAATTAGAAAGAAGAACGGCAAGTCTAAATCAAACATGAGTCTTTTGGCTGCTTCAACCCAGTTTCACAGCAAAATGTATAATAGTGATGTTTGTCTGCATCGCAAAGCGTTGTAGTCTAACCATAAAACTGTGACAGCGCAACATTTTCTGGATCAACAACTGTGACATGGCAACATCTTTCTGGCATGAAGACAAAAGAAAATGGTAAAGTTTAGGTGTATGGTTAAGTGTTAGGGAAGGTTTGGCTAAAAGACTCTCAAATGAACAGAACATTCTCTGTTTGTCGGACCCATTCATCTTTCCCAACTACCACTTTTCTATTGTTTTTAATTCCCAATGTTTCAAAACCGTTCAAGACCCCAACAACACATTTCACAGCAATCTCACCAGCAGCTGTGGAGATATTTTGATGTGGACCACACCCACAGACCAGCCAACATCACCAGCAAACAATAAGAGCAAAAACCAGTGAATGATAATTAGCAAATTACAGTTATAGTCCAGTAATAAGGGACTAGGATATGTGCAACAATACAAGCGGCATGGCAACGTGGACTGCTCTGCATGGACAGGATTACTCTTCACAGTCTCATGGGAAATGTTGAGTGATAATTTGAATGCCAGAAGACTATAAATAAGGCTGTGCTGCTCAGCTGTTACAGTGTGTGATGTTAGATAATACGCCGGTTAGTTCAAACCCAGTGTTGTGCATTTTCAAACATTTCTAGGGTTTCCAGTGAGTAAAGACTTACTAGGAGACAGTAAACTTCACAGCATCATCCTATAGCCTAAACCGTAGCAGTTCTCAGTCACGGCAGGTGTTGTACTACAACACTCTTCTTCAATAATATGTCAGTGACATACTGTGATATTAAGAAACTTTACAACTGGCTTCCTAAACTAGCCCAACCTTTCTATGTCTCAGTTCTGCTGAGCTGGATAAATCTTGCAGAATGAGCGCAACATTTCCGAAGGCTTAGACACGTTCCTGGCATGGGGAAGCCGGAGTGCTGGGGGTTGGGGGTCATGAGAGAACGTGTGTCTGCTTGTCAAGGATCTCCGGTGGCAGAATTCATGACACCAAAGTGAAACACTGAAAGACGGGATTTATGTTCAGCTCCTCCTCAGTGCTAGAAACATCGAGATGAGGAAAAGAGCCAAGAAAGAGACCAAGCCACTCAACACTTGGAAGTCACACTAGAATCAAAGTGCAGAAACAGACAATCCATGCTGTGACTTTCCAGGCAACGCCCACTTGGTTTTGAAACATCTTAGGATTTTATTAAGGCATTAGGTTTGATTACAGCAGCTGCATGTCATGTGACCCCTCAGGAAGGCTTTAAGTATAGAAACATCGAGCAAAACCCCAAGTGGGAGAAGACAGCATGACGATGTGCATGTCTGCCAAGGAAGTGTCAGTCCAGAGCCACCATGTCCGTCCATCTATCGCCTTCAAAGTGGACCAGCTGCTTAGAAGCTGACCTTTGACCTTCTACTGTACATGACACAACAAGACTTTGGACGGGTCTGGAGATTAATATTTACGTCAGCATCAACCTAAATTTAGCATCATGTGAGCAGTAAAGGTGTCACGGCTGTTAGTGAGTACTCTGACAGCAGCCCCTTGTGCTTTACTGACTGACATGAGTTCATGCTTTCATGGCTGACATGCCATACCACTAATGGGCCTTGTATCAAGTTAGCGGTGAGAGAGTATAGCATCGCAGAGCCAGAACAGCACCTCCTGTTTCTGCAGCTTGTGGTCTCATGGCAGACAACTGCAAACCTCGGAGAGGAACAGGTTGGACTCAGACCTGACACCTTCAGCACTGAAGAGGACAGTCCATGAATTCATGCTTCCATAAAAACTGTATTTCCCCTTGTGCATAGTATGACATACCACAAGTGCTCATTTTGTATTGTGCATTTTGCATTAAGTACAATTTCTATGGTGATTCTGTTGTAAACTGTGTGAACATTAGGCGCCTCTGTTTGTTAACCCTTCATGAGCACTTCACTTTAATAGAAGGCGTGCCCCTGCTTCATAATACAGAAAAAACTAAGACAAACCCAAATATATTTAAATATATTTGGGTTTGTAAAGTGATCTGTTGTCAGGCAAAACATGCAAAGCCCCCAGCATGCTTCTTCAGTTTCATCCACTCCTTAATAGAGTCAAAGGTCATGAAAACACTTGACCTTTGGACTGTGTGAGGTTGGACCTTGGTGCAGTGCTTCTTACCCAGAGGAATCTTCTCCACCATGTACAGGTAGCTGGCAAAGAACTCGCTCCTGAGCGTGTGGTGCAGGTGGAAGGACATGCTGTGGCGACACATGGTGTCATCTGTCTGTTTCCAGCGATCCCTGAATGCCTGGTGAGCGCCCTTGTACTCAAAGTTGGGTGATGATCTGCTGCCATCATCTTCAATCTCCATTTTGGCTGTGTGCAGCCCTGGGGCACTTCACAGAGTGGCACAGTTCTCCAGAGAGTGTTTGACTGAGCGCCGGCACAGGAGAGTAACACACGGCCCGTTTCTCCAGCTGCTGCTAAATCTGTCCAGCTGAGTGTTCACCACATCTCTGCCAGTGCTCTAATGATCAGCAGAGACTTTTTTTACTGGGCAGTGCTCGGAGTGGATCACCTGCTAGGGACACTGACATTGGAGGAATGAGGGAGGAGGGACAGGGCGTGGAGGAAGTTGCCCCCTGTCTAAAGACTGTCAGAGCAAACAAGTATGCACCAAGGCAACCTGACTTCAGGCAGTAAATACCAACAGCACATGGGCGTACATACAACCGACCTTATGCTCTTGCTGCCATAGGTGGACTTAAATTTAACACCGTCTTCCCCTGTTTGTATGACTCTTGCTGTGTACTAGCACAGTTCTTTAGACACCGGAAAACAAAGTTACAAGTTCTGTAACTTTAGGGCTTCGAATCATCTTATCTTTCCCGTGTAAGTCTGCAATATAGAATGAAGTGATGTGAGTTTAAGAAACACAAGGAAGGTCCTCAGTAAAATTAAACTTCAGTGCTGTTTGACCCCACTTTGCACCACTCGTGTATTATTGCACCACACTTGAAAGTCAGTCATTAAAACCCCCAGAAGGTAATAGTGAAGAAGTAGGTTTGGAAAATGTGTTTATACACTATGTTTCTGAGCTTTAGATTTGGAGAGTGATACTCCTACCACTCTCAGGTAGCTGGTCCTGGTAAGCCTAGCTTAGCTTAAAGACTGAGCGGTGAGGTGTTGGTGGGTCTGTTTTTGAAGAGAGAACCAAGCAGAGAGTTTCCCCTTATACTCCTCTATGTCACAGAAATTATTTTTTGTCCAGAAACCATTAATACCCATCAGTGACCACACTGTTGTACTGGGTGACATGTTCCTTCATCACATGAACACACACACTGCAGTTTATTCTGACTCCCACACACACACACACTGTCCTGCTGCCACAGATGCTCATTGGAGACCAAATGAAGATTTTTCCACTGCTGAAAATAGTCCCCAACAAATTAATTATTTCCTTGTTTGAGTAACATTTGTTAAAATCTACAGTGACCAACAGTTTGTTTTTTTCCTTTTTTTTAAATGATTGAGCTTGGTTAAATGTTGTTAAATGAAACTATATATTTGTGAGGTGTTTTTAAAGATTTGGAACTAAGAGCCACAGTATTGAGAGACTAAAAACTGTTGGTTTGGGTCTGAACATGAGATTTGCTGACAACAGAAAATAACACCAGTCTTATTGTTTTACGTTTTAAACTGTGTAGGTTTGCGTTCTGCCTGAGTTTGATCATTCTCCACCTAACAATTAAACTGACAGAAGATGCCATGTTTAACCCACAGTGGCTGCAGATACAGTGCCTGTTCTGTTGAGGAAAACTTGACATAAGACTTGTACATATAAAACAATCTGTAATCAGTTAGTGACCAGGGAATACTGTATATTTCTGACCCCTAAAACAAATCATATTTGGATATATCCATCATGAACCACAGGCTAAATTTAGAGAGGTGACATCAGCTATCACACAGGAAGGGAATGACTAATGCAGAGACAAGCAAATACCTTGTGGAGAGCAGATTTACCATGTTACAGTATCTATTCCATGTATCAGACAACTACCTATTTCTTACTTGTAATTAAATAGATATGTGGCTGGTATGGTTTCTATACGGGAAACTGACAGGTTTATCATATTTCCAAACTTAATTTTCTAACCTAATTCTTCTCTTATTATTGAGTTTTTAATCATGACAATATCTATGAAACCAATCTGCTGGTGCAGTGAAATGATTTTTAAGGTGAAAAATATTTTCTTTTTGCACATATTTTCTATTCACATGTAATTTCTCTTGGATCTATCGTCATTCAAGATATCAATACTGATTTTGTCTCTTGAAATAACTTCACTCTAAACAACTAAGCAAACCGATGTTCTGTTATTTTAAGGAAACAAAACGATTACTCAGTAATTAAAAAAAAAAACTCAAGTGAGATTTCTGCAGTGTTGTTAAAGTTCCCTCTTGTTTAAAGATGATTTTTCTGGCAAATCACCTAACAAGCAAAACCTAAAGCAGATGTGAATAAATACATGTAGAACAGTAGGGTGTATTAGAAAATATTTGAATTGTTCTACTGCATGTAGACACAGAGTGTAAATAGTCAGAACTTGTGTAACAAGCAGGCAGATGAACCCGAAGTTCACAGGTCTTTTTTGCATATATATATATTTTTTTACCTTACTTCAGGTTGAGTTCGGTGTTAACCTAACCCAAACTCACTGGTCTCTGTGGTCACCCTGTAGCCAGGTCATCCATCATATCCGCAAATGGATTCCAGTCTGCAAAAGAAAGAGTTTTGCTTTCTTTTTGTAATAACACTGAAAGACAATTTCTACACTCTAACAACAATGTTTTATAAGTGACTACAAATAACACGAGGATGGCCAGTTTTTCTCTATTTGCATGCGTGGTAGGCCCGTTCAGCAATCCATCCTGAGGCATAAACCGCAGGACCTTAGCAGCCTCGTCCTCCCATGCTGCAGGGGGCAGCAGTTCATCCGCGGGGCCGCTCTGCACGCTGAGCGCTGGGGCTCCCAAGGCAACAAGCTCGGGAAATTAATAACATCCGCCCCATCTCGATCAGTATCAGTTGTTATCGTTTGAGAATCCCATGCGTTTTATCTTTCTTGTCTAAAATGGACCGTTTGCAAACAGGAGATCCACGGTATCTTAAAAGGTAAGGGCTGTGTACTTAAAGGCTATTAGCATGTTGGTAACGTTATTTAGCTAAAGATGCTCAGCTGTTCATTGATAGCACGACCGGCCATTTAAAATAAATAACTGCAAGGATAATCGACCGAAATGAATTACAATACATTGTTATGCAAGTGCGAATAACTGTTAACACCCGACAATAGCGCCCTTTAGCATACCTGTACGGTACCTGTAGATGCTAACGGCGTGTCCGTTTAGGGCGTGTAACTAAAATCGATAACAGGGTGGTGGATCGTTTAGAGGAGGGATGAAACAACAGCCAGTATCGATTTGTGAATTTTGGAATGATTGACAACGATTTATAATCGGCATCTCGTTATTTTCAGACAACTATATCTCGTGTGTCACAACTGGCCAATAAAGCTGACTGATTCTGAATCTGATCCTTGTTATGAGGATGGAAGGGTGTAACTTGGCATTGGTAAAGCTTGGAGATATGCTGGTGCACTTAGCTACCAGCTATTTGAGGCTTGTTTTTGCTGAAAAATCAGTTTAGTTACAGCTTAAATGGGATGAGATTTAATGGTAATAATAGGATGATAATTTAAAATGATTCGATCATGAGACGAATCATGAATAAACAAAAATACAAATTTATGAAATATTCGGATTCTTAATGGGTTCATGTTACCTTTCCTTAGACTTCACTGGAGGTATGTCAGAGGGTATGAAAGAGTTTTTATCCCTGTCTGTCATATCTGTTTTGGTAAATGGGAGTTGGGAAACCATGTCTTTATGGAGCTGGCTTTGTGCACAGGGATACCTGAAACAGCAAAGGAACAAAAGTGTTGGCCTAAAGGGAAGGACACTAGTGTCTAAAATATTATTGTAACTAAGGGAACAGGTTCTAAAGTAAACCATGTGTGCACAGGGCAAATATAACAAGAGAACTCGGTGCAGTTTGAGTGCATGCTTGTTTTATCTCTGTGTGACCCACAGGAGAGTGAAGGGCTGTTCTCTGGACGTCCACCCGACTGAGAAAGCCCTTGTTGTTCAGTATGAGGTGGAGGCGACTATCCTGGGGGAGCTGGGGGACCCTATGGTTGGAGAACGCAAAGAGTGTCAGAAAATGTAAGAATAGCATACGGTCCCTAAATAGCTACAGGATTTAAACTATACTGCGTTAACTTTAAATGAACCTTGTAACAGTGTCCAACCTGTTTCAGGTGATTAAAAGAATGAGATTTGGCTTCATCTTTAATCACATTATGAGAATATTACAACCACAATCCCAGATTATCTATTCCTATATCATGATTGTAGAGCACAAATATTTAAAAACCTATTCCATAAACCTTGTACTAATGGTTTTCTTTTCTCTATGTGTATGTGCTGCTCTCAGTATTCGCCTTAAGAGCTTGAATGCAAACACAGACACAACCTCTTTAGCTTTGAAAGTGGTGGAGGAATGTCGGTTGATTCATCCGTCTAAACTCTGCGAGGTGGAGCAGCTACTCTTCTATCTGCAAAACCGCAAACAGCCAAATGGTACTGAGGAGTTCATTATGTCTACAGTACTTTAATGTTGCTGCACACAATGCTGTTGGATTCAGTGATGGTTATCAGTTTATCATCAGAAGCCTCTGTGACGCTGAATGTCACCTTTCACAGACAACCAAGAGAAGAAACGCATCTCACCCCGAGACCTCAAACCTTATACAGGAGTGGAGGTACGAATATGCATGTTGGCAGTTTATTAGGTACACCAAGCTAAAACTAAAGAAGTCTAATAATACAACAATCGTACAACAGATCATGAAGTTATAATAATGTCTGTCCAGTATTCAGTGCAGAAGAAGTGTCCCTGTCCTGATGCACACTGTGGTGGACTGTTTTTCTTCCTTCTGCCAGCTGAACGAGGAGGCGAGCATCATCAGCATCGATGAGTATGTGGAGCTGCTGTATGAGGACATCCAGGATAAGATCAGAGGAGCCACGCTCATCTTCCAGCTGGCTCGAAACCCAGACAACCTGGAGGAGCTCATGCAGAACGGTACCTATTTATTTGGTAAAAACTTCATTCACAATAGGGCTGACCCAACTTACAAACAGCACATACTGGCTCAGTGAGCTCTGGCCTTTGTCTGTTTGTGCAGACAAAACTGTAAAACTAGTGGCAGCCCTACTCACGTGGCCTTGTATCGACAGTAGACTGTAACCAGAGTCTCTTTGCAGAGATGGTCTGTGGTCTTTGGATGGGATCCTTCTCGGGCCATCTGCTGGCCCCTGATGCGGCTACCATGTGACCACAGTGACTCCATTTGCTGTGGAAAGACCTCGGGCTAGGGTTGAAATCTCTATAAAAAAAATTTGGGTGGACCTTGAGTTAATTTTTTTTTAATGTCAAGGTCAAGAGTAAACTCTCATGCTCTGCTACATGGAATGCTTGGAATGTTCTGGAAACCTGGGCAGCAGTTCATTTTACAAGTCAACTCAACAGTTCTGTTCAACTCGATACTGTGTTCAGATAGAAATCAGTAGGACTACAGTGCAGAGTCCACTGACTTTGATCAGCTCGTCCCCTCTGCTCCAGTTCTACTCCCTGCCATGACAAACACTGTTTCTGCAACAACTGCACAGAGCCATCATGCTTTGCTGACTTCATGAGATGACATGGACTCATTTGTATCTGTCATGAAGCATCATTAGGTCGCTCTGTCCGTCTCATCGCATCAGCCGCTCTGATGTTGATGAGAGCCGAGCCGAGAGGCCTTGGGGTCAGCATGGAAGCAGGAGGTGAAGCCTGGGACACACGTCTTTGTGTTGAGACGCACCCATAGCTCAGAATCCCCAGGAGCCTCCAACTTCATCATGTTTCCCCACACTTCTTACACTAGCCTCCAGCTGCACTCCTCTCTGATTGGCTTCACACACAGCCACTTTGCTCTTTTTTGTCCTGACTCTCTTTTTTCTGGATATTTCTATCTCTGTGTGTGTGCGTGTGCTCAGAGTCAGCCCTTGGAGCCCTGGCCAGAGTCCTGAGGGAGGACTGGAAGCAGAGCGTGGACCTTGCCACAACAATCATCTATGTCTTCTTCTGCTTCTCCAGGTAAACCAGCACATATGCAGAGGCTCACAGATATTTTGTCTTTGTTCCAAAGTTTCAGTCTCATATGTTTTTAAATTATCATGACATTGTGATCTGCTATTCCACTGTATGTTATGCCATCACTAATAGAAATGACTTTTGGGACCTTTTAAGTTTTTTTTCTAGTTTCCACGTGTGAGACCACAAGGGTCTCCATGATGTCCACGTTATCATCTGCCCAGGCCTGGTGAGGACGGTCCACATGCTGTGCAAAATGTACACCCACGTGGACCGTACACACTGACAAATATGCAGACGCTCGCTCTCTAAAACAGTTTGAGCAGTGTTGAAACACAAACTGTTGACACACAGCTGGAACAACCATGTGTACTGTAGCATTAAGATTCCCCTTCATTGGAACTAAAAGAATCACACCAGCACAAACCATCTCAGGCCAAAGGTATGAAATAGGTATGTCCACATACTTTTGGCATGTTGTGAACTCAGTTCAAAGCAGGTTGCCAGCCAGTGGCTGCCTCCTTGTGTACAGTACTTCTGAATGTCGGGTTTGACAGCGCTGGCTCTTATGGTTATCTCCTGTTTTCACTGCTCTCTTACAGTAGTCCTCCATCTTTGGCAGCGTATCTAGTACTGAAGTTTCACTCTCCAACTGGGGATTCAGAAACACTAAAATTAGCCCTCACTAGAATAATACATAAATGTCTGTCAGAGCCGATTTAGGCCGCGAGAGGACGTGTACGTCTGAAAACTGATCGTCATTCTTGGCTGGTCTCCAGCTCCATGTTAATGTTATTTGGATTGTGAGACGGTTCAAGTTGGACTGACTATAAGTCAACCAGGACGCAGTGTTTGACTGAACATGTTTTGACTTTTGACAGTTTACTTTGTAAACTACTTCATGGGTGATGGATTGGGTCATTTTAAAGACGGCTCCCAGCTGGAGATTCAAATATGATTTCAGTTTTGAAAATACACTTTGGGATAAATGGAACTCTCTTTCTCTCCCTCCTAATCTTCTTCTTTAGTTTCTCCCAGTTCCACGGCCTGGTCACGCATTTCAAGATTGGGGCCCTTTGTATGAACATCATCGAGCACGAGCTGAAGAGGTATGACCTCTGGCAAGATGAGCTGCAGAAGAAGAAGACGGCCTATATCCTTTCACATGAATCATCCAGATGAAGAATTTCTCTTGAGAAAGCAGTTTTTTGTCTCAGTTAAATGCAGGATTTTGGTGTTTATGGTATTTTATGGTAAATGGGACAAGCTCAGCTTGGTGACAGTGGTTATGGTATAAGAGGATGGATCCTGTGACACGCAGTCTGATGTCTGTTGAGTGAATTTGAGTTCCTTGACTGATTGCACATGAAGAATTATCTGAGAACCAAAATCTGAAGAAAGAACATGAGAAGTCTTTAAGAAAATACCAAAGCCTTCTAATCAAGCAGGAGCAGCTTCTCAGGGGTATAGTTGTTAACAAATATCTTAGCATGTAAATATTATTCTGTGACTCATCAAGCTGCTATTTTTATGGGTTGAGTGCTCTGTCTAATTTTGTGTCTGGGTACTGATATACTGTACATGTTCATCTTCCAGAAAATCAATCAAGAGACTGTTCGTAGATGGATAACCAGACACAGTGTCTGGTTTTGGCTAATCCTGCAAATTAAATGCCTGATAAGTTAAAATACTTCAGCACATTGATTTAACGGTCACTAAAATGTCTAATATTGTCACTGAGCAGTCCTGCTCATTGTTTTGCTAAAGTTCTAGTAAAGTGCTCTTTAGTCAAAACAGTTCAACACCAAATATCAGAGTAACAAGCACAAGAGCAGCAACACGTTTCCAGTCGGACTGAGTTGACCAAGCTGCTTCTGCTCTGTAGTTGCTCTGTGTCTGCGGCTGAACCTGGCTTAAGGCACGCGCCCGAAAAACATCGTCCACATGCTGGTGAAGCTTCTGGACCGGGAGGACGAGGAGCTGCTGCTGGTGGTCGTCTCCTTCCTCAAGAAGCTCTCCATCTTCCTGGAGAACAAGAATGACATGGTGAGATGGGAAGTGGAGAGCAGAGGAGCTTTTCTGGGCTTTATTATAGACAAGATGTATTTTCACCAAACAGGATGTTAAAATTTCTTTTTCTTGCTTCTTAAGTGGGAGAAACTGAGAGCCTTGATACCTGCTCCTATTCATCTGCATGATTGCTCCACATATCCCATGTTCCTTCATGGCACTGGTGCGTGTCTCAGAAGTCACGCTACACATCTGCAGGATGCAGTTAAGCTCATGAATCATGCTGACACTATGTTAGGGTGCGAGGTCAGCAGACTCAGAACAAACCACAATGACTGTGAGGGAAAGAAACCATACCTAACATTAAAGATGGCACCAGAATGTTTATGTTGTCTAAAATACAAAAGCACTGGAGATGTTTTTGTGTCAGCCAGAGATGATTCATCTCTGATAAAGCTTAAACTTGATCTGTATCCAGCACCTTTGGGGTGAACTGGAGGCTGTTGGAGCAACGCGTTAAAGCCCATGGTGTCACAGTCGTATGTTCAGCTGTCACGTCTGAGTGGGCTGTTAAGGCAAAGTGCATCCACACTTTCTGTTTTATGCTTTTTAATACTTGTTTACATGGAAATGACATTTAGCTTTATCCTTTTGGATCCTGAACTATAAACAGGCTAATTACTACACAGCTGAATAAGACTTTGGTCATGTTCTCTAATTCAGCGTAATAACAAACATAACATAAATCATGGATTTGTTACACACAATCCCACCGTGGAGGTATAACTCACAGGACACCAACTGTGGCCTCGCACGTGGTTTAATCAACAGCTTGTTTTGTATTTCTAATTAATGTGCTCTTTAGTTGCATTATGTTGTGACATTTAAACTGAATCGGTCACGCTTAAAGGAAACAAACATTCTTTATCATTTATGGAAAACACTACAGAGGTCATTTTGACAAATAGCTGTTCCTCTGTAGAGATGCCAGTTGAAACCGCGCTTATCAAAGCTGATTTAAAAATGTTTAGAGGGTTCACTCATAGAGGAGCCTCACCGCTCCGACGCTGCCTAACCCAGCCTCACCTGGATCCAATCTCCATCAGTCTGTGGGTCTTTATCAAAGCCAGACCCTGTTAGGAACTGGTTTTATCTCCTTGTTTCCCCTTCAGCCTATGTTTGGGCCCACTCAAGTATGTGTCCAGCAGGAAAAGTTGTTTCAACACTTTGACTCGGTTGACTTTATCAGTTTACACAAGGGAGAAAGGGTTTCCAGTTAAGGACACGAGTGTCTAATTGATTACAATAGACTGTTCACATACTGTAATGATACAGTATGTCATCAGCTCTTGTTTACTCAGCAAACATGTTATGACTTTCTCCTAATCAGATAAGACTTGACACAGCCTGATACATTGTTCCCTGCCGCTGTCACTAATGGAAGGCGAACGTCAGTGGTAATTGACACAAGCTGCAGTTGATTAGACTGCTCGAGGTCTGGTTTGTGATGGTGTGACTGGAGCTGGTTTTGCACACAGTAGCAGTGAGTGCTTTTTAACTGGGAGCAGGCTGCATCACCATAATGTGGCTGCAGGAGAGGGAAACGGACAAGCTAGCAGGCAGCACCAGTCTGACGGTGCACGGAGGTGCACGCTGTCCTCTCTGTCCCTGTACCTTCCTCCCGGTAGTCCTGGCTCTGGAGCTCTACGTTTCTGATGAGCAGTCACTGACCACATCAACCTGCAGGGGCTTGCTGGGTTTTTCCTCTTTAATAATAACAATAGTAAGGTTTAGACCTTAGTTTGTAAAGTGTCCTGAGTCGGCTTTTGTTGTGATTTGGCGCTTTACAGGTAAATAAAAATTGAATTGAACTGAACTCCCACACATTGGTGACCTGATAATCAGCAGTCATGTGTTGGTGCTCCAGTTGTGTCTGGTGTCAGCAGCTCAACGCCTCCACCTGCCTGTAGCTCCGGTGAAGCCTGACATAGGTGACGGCAGAACTCAGGGCAGATAGCAGTAAGTCTAGCATTTTATAGAATTGTATTCTAAAAACATGTATAAAAGACATTTACATCACAAGATACTTCTCTGTTGTGCATTCATTTTAATGTGTTTTGCCATTTTAGTAATCAGATACAATATATTCATAGGTTGACGTAAAATTAAGTTGCCTTGTTTTTTTTATCCTTAGTGTAAAGCTGTCTGAAGAAAAAATCTAAACTTAAAGAATTTATATTTTATGTTATCATTGATGGTGACAAAATAATGCATCCACCTTTGACATCCAATGTACTGTACCCAATAAGATCATTTAAAATCAGACCCACATAAAGCATTAAATTCACTGAGAGACTTGGAGGCCAAAGGAACGTTTCTGATGTGTTTGCTCCCCAAGAATAAAGATAAAAACACCTGGCCAGTGACTTATTTTTCTTTTTGTATTCATGCCTTTATTGGAGGTGATAGTAGAGAGACAACTGTGGGGAGGGACAGATGGAGAAGGTCCGCTGTGTGGCGACCTGGACATGTCGTGGCTCACTGTTTGTGAATTCAGTTGAAATTTCATGCAGCTCAGACAGGTGATGTTAACGAAATATGGGCAAAAAGATCATGTTTCTCCACAAAAGAAAATGGCTTTTGTTAAATGTAAAAGCTTTGTAGAAAAACGTGTTTATACTCCTCTCAGGAAGACAAATGGGTAATTTTGGGATGTGTACTGCTGTGAAACGATACCCAGTCCTGTTTATAGTTTATCAGCCATTTTATTCCTTTTTTCTGAGCAGTTAACCACAAGGCCGTGTGTTGTCCACAGGCTGAGGCGTTTGCTGTCGAGAAGCTGGCTCAGCTGGTTCCCTGCGAGCACGAGGAGCTCCTGAGCACCACCTTACGCCTGCTGCTCAACCTCTCCTTCGACATGTCGCTGCGCAGCCAGATGGTCCGGACCGGGCTCATTCCCAAACTGTCCTCACTGCTCGGTAATCAGTCTGACTGTGTATTAGTGCTCCCAGTGTTGGTGCTTGTTTGTGCAGTTATTCTTTCACATATGTTTGTACTGATTCGCTGTGTGTATCTGTGTGTTTATGGCTGGAGTTGTGCTGTATGGGCCTTTGTATCAGGGGAACCATGATTTCAGGTTTTCACTGAAGCAGACACACTCATCCATCCTGAGCCAGCAGTGAAGCCTCTGATTTGTTCATACTGAGGTGCATGTGTAGCTGAGCTGCCTCTGGTGACCACTGGAGAAGTGACTTCCTGAAAGCTCTGGAGCAAGCGACTGTCTCATCCGCGAGGTCGTATGACACGGTCTAAAGCTTCTCTGATGGGCCTTTTGAAGCCTCTCAGGGGGAGGCTCGGGTAACAGCGCATAATTAATATAACATATTTGTTAGAATAACATGCCGGAGCCTCTGCACAAATGTTGTTTTTGTAGGAGCAGGCCGGAGAGGTGGAGGGGTCTTCAGAGATTTAGGGAAGGCTGATTTTTGGGAAGTGGGGAGTGGGAGGAAGCGAGGCACGCACGTAATATAAGTTAACACTGAAATATCACGCCTGCTCATGGTTGTGACACTGCTGAATTTGCCTGTATTTGTGTCTGTGTGTAGTTCTCTCTGTATGTGAGCTGAAGCGTCGTTAATCATCCACTCTTGCTGCCAGCCGTCCTCGTTTTAACTGACACGCTCGGCATGAGGACTCTGGTCTTATCTTGAAAGCGAGAAGACGGGGGGGAGGCAGGCCTGTCAGCCTCCACTCTGCATCCAGACCTGACCTGAGGTCACGACCTCTAATGATAAGATGAAAGTGGAGAGGGGGCCTCGACTTCACCACTCGCCACCACCTGAACTCCACAGAGAACAGAAGATTCTTCTTCTGGTTCTGTCTTTCAGCTAGTGCACAAACAGTTTGCCAATTAAAGTAGTTGGCTGATGAAACCTAATTAACAACTTGAGGTTAGGTTTACTGCTTTTCTGTGTATTATATTATTTTTTAAGTCCACACACAGTAGAAGATGTTGGGAGACAAAATTGGAAAATTAAAGAACTGATCGGCTCAGACCCCAAACCCCCAGCTTCACCTTTGTCAGAAAGTTGTTGGTGGAGGGGGTTCTGGACGCCATCCGGCATGCAGTCCAGGAGGAGCAGAAACTCTGCTTAAGCTGTCACCTTGGACTTGTTAATTCATCACAGACTGTGGCCTTAAACTCAACTTATGCTGTCTGCATCATCTAAGCTCAGAGAGTCTACCTATATATTTGAGAGTCCATGCAATTCTTGCTGACATCTGTATGTAGCCACTACGTATTATATCTCTTAAACCGTATGACCAAAGCTTCAAGCCTGAGATATGACACAGTGGGCTATAGCATCCGCTGTCTGTCTGCATTCTTTAAGTGGCTCTGGTCCTTAGACACGAGGTGTGAGATGGTTCACAAGAGAAATGTCAGAACAGCAAACAGGACAGAAATATTCTTTTCTCTTTTAATCATCCTGGGGCCTCATCAAATTCATCTTGGGACCACTGTTACAGATTAAACCGTGTTGCATTTTGTCTGTTTTAGTGTTGTAAACTGAATATTCCTGGGTTTTGAATCTTGGTCAGACACCTTTTTTTGAAAATGCCACCTTGGGAAATTTTCTGACATTTTATTGATTATATAAATCTATAATTCAAAGAAGTCAGGGATTAATTAACAACAATAAAATCTGGCTTTATTTCCAGCATGCAGCATGTTGACTAAGCAAATTAGGAGAACTGAGTGGGGGTGGTGACCATTTTAAAAGCATTTTGCACTGTTACAGGGTACGAGATGTCTCAGAGGTCCAAACCCACTTTGCTTATTTACCCACAAAATCCAATAACTATGGAGCAGCGCTGTCCACAGACCCAGTCCAGACGCCTCCTAATGTGAGTGGGTGTAATTTTACAAAGGCTGGGCAGTTTTAAATCAGGCTGGGGTGTAATTGTAGTTTGGCTGTCCCACTAACTGCCCCTGAATAGTCTAGTTAATTGTTTACAGTCCCCCCCTCACCTTTGTCTCTGCGCTGCCTCAGCCCTACTGGTTTTTTGAACAGTTACTGGCAGCTCTCTCTTGGCCCCTAAAGGATCCTCCGTGTTCCTACCAGCGGAGCGAGGGAGCTCAGCAGGTTTGGACGAGCTTATTTCCTCTCACTGTGTGTTTGGCTGTTTTCATGTGCATTTTAAAGTACTGGTCAAGGTAAAGGATCGCTAATGAGAAGCACATGTTCTGGCCGCTCGCTGGCTGCGCGGCCAGAGCAGCGTAGCTTTGACTTATTAAAGGCAGTAAAATTGATGCTTCCTCCTGTTTTCCCAATTAAAGCTAGAAGGCGTCTCACACTGGCCCTCTCTCCCTCCTGTGATTCCAGGGGTTCACTCAGCACATCTGGATCTAATACACAGTGATAAAGCTCCCTGTACAGCCAGTGACTAGACATGGCTGGGACCAGTTTTAGCTGGACCAGGCTGGGGCTTTGGAGGCTGGTGGCTTTACAGGAGGTCTGTTAGTGGTTCTGGTCAAGTGAAGTCTCTTTCTTAACACATCACTTAATGAAAAGTCCCCGGCTTAAACTCAAGCCTGAACTCCTCCAGCCCTCCCCAGCTGTGGGCAGAGGTCAAACTCATAAAGGTCCTGGGCTCACTAACAGCCTAGTGCTCTATCCATTCTGTCTTTATCTCCTGCATGCTGCTGCTGAGGCATGAGAGCCTCTCAGTACTGCATTGACAGGCGCTGTGCTGATTTCATTAGTGGCTCAGCTGGGCCCTAAATTACACTTTATTAAACAATAGTAAAAGTTGTATTAAAGTATGAGGTTGCTCCTAGTGACCAAGCCACAGAGAGTTACCACCTGGCTCTTCATTCTCCATTGCCTTTTTATCCGCCTCTAGCTGGGTTGGTTTTACACTTAGTGTTTGGTTCAGTCTCAGGGTCTTCAGCGGCAGCAGGCCGCAGTTTTCATCAGACAAGCTCTGATAAACCCACTGCACACTTCCTGTCCACACAAACACTTAGAAAGGAGCTGGTTGAGACAGGAGAACATCTGGCAGGTGAAAAGCCAGATCTTTTTCTCAAGTTGAGGACAGTTGGCGGAGACCAAACCAGAGCTTAGTGTCAATATTGGATTTACATTCTTGAGAAGGACACAGACGCCACTCCAGCGGGTTTATCTTGTCACTCTTTGTGTGCCAGACATGTCAGTAGGCTATTTGGCTAACCTGTTTTCCATAACAACCTTGAGGGTTTCCACTTGTTCCGCTGCCCCCAAGTAGCAAAAACATAAATTCATTCAGCTTCAGAAAATTCTACATGAATGTGTCTTTTCACAAACTGTGTCCTGGTTACTCTGGATGAGCCACAGACCTCACACTGTCAACAGTTTTCTTTGGAACAACTTAAGAAATAGTGCCAGTATAAACCATTCACAGTCAGGTCTGTGGCCTGTCCAGAGTAACTGGGTCACTGTTTTTGTATGGTAGGGCTAGTATTATTCTGTGCTTTTGTTATTGTCAGCAAATCCTATTTGCAGTCTCAAACCAAGAGTGTATTAGACCATCTCTCAGTACTTTGACCTCCCTACACTGTCTGCAGCTCTCAGCCCATTAGTTCCTACTGAAGATCTTTAAAAATCACCCCACAAAAATATATCTGTGCATTTTTATGGTTCAGTTCCATATTTAACCTTTTCAATATCCCCCACCCCACCCATCTTTGCTGATCTTGAACTAAATGCCAAGTGACATCCAACAGGAACCGCTGTTAAGAAGGCCATTCAGCCCATTAATATTTTCAGAAATGCACACATCTCTCCTAGATGTGGTCATTGGCATCCCAGGGAGCGTCACGGTACAACCAGTCATTCATGCGTTGACTTCCTGCCTCCTCTTCTGTTTATGTTGCAGCTGACGAGGGCCAGAGACAGCTCAGCATGTGCATTCTGTACCACATCAGCATGGACGACAGATTCAAGTCCATGTTTGCCGACACAGACTGCATACCACAGGTAAGACTGGCTAATGTAGGCCGCCAGCAGACCAAGACAGGCACATTAGCATCGGCAGCTAACGGCACTTGGGAATTAGTGCATGAGAAAAAGAGCAGAATGGACGAAGGCGCACTACATGTGGAACCAAAAACCACCGGAGGACTTCTGCTCAGCCCTCACACTCGCTGTGACGAGGGCTGTTTTCTTTTCTGCTTTACTTTCCACTGAGTCCTGAAAACATCCTTGCATCCAGACATTTTTGTCTTCTACATAGCAGCATCTTAATTGTCCTTCCTGAACTCCATCAGCACACGAAACTAGATTTCACCGCTAAAGCTCAAAGCCCCTCCGGCTGATTTCTTTCAGTCATAACAGCTTTGTTGAGTTCTCCCCTGATTGAGTTGACCAGGTCATTAGCTCCTATCATCAGCAGTGATTAGCTAAATGTGCATCGTGTTTGTTTGTGGAGATTGGGTGCAAATGTCGGCCAGATGTGGTCACGGGAGTCGCCTGATTGTTCAGAAGGTCACGTCAGCAGCAGATCTCAACCTTTGGGGTCTCCTGTTGGTAGAAAGGACGCAGGCTAGCAGCATGACCAGGATGTGACCTTTGACCCTGCCCCGAGGTCTGCTCATTCTCCCCACACTACTCTTTTATACCTCCTTTTGTGTAATGTTGTCCATTCAGCTCTTCCCAGATAAAGTAAGCTAAATGTGAAGCTGCCATTTTCTATAACAAAAGCAGTGATTTATGAAAGAAGACTCAGGAGTAGATTCATACGAAGACACTGGGCTTGTTGTTCAGTGGGATAAGACACTACTACACTTTATCCATGTGTCCTGTTTGTCACAATTATCTGCTTCGCCTTCATTTTCTCACCTATTTTGTACTTTTAAGACTCTCCCTCTCCCAGGCCGGTGACTGACCTGCCCCTTTCCCCTTCTTCAGATTTTAATGGGGTCACCATTTGGTGCTGTATGTGGGGTTTCCAGGGCAGGGATGTCAGGAGATGGGGGTGGGTACAGAGGTGGAGGTGGTTGTGCTGGTCAGGCTGCAGCACGGCGCTGCGGCCCTCACGGGGCCTCTGGTGGCTGTCTGTGGTAAATAAGCAGAGGCAGGTGCCAGAGAGTCTAGACGGGGCTGATTTGGGGTCCGGGGCCCCTGGTATGTGATACCTAACCCAGGCCTGGCCCAGCCTTTCTTTCCCTCTCTCTGATTCCTGACTCCTCACAGGGAAGCAGTGCACCTCTGCCCCCCGCCACCACCACCACCTCCCCCACCTCAAAGCTTTTCCTGTTTAATGTTAAATCAGCACAGGGGAGACGCAGACAGAGGGAGGAGGAGGAGGAGGTGGGTGTTGTGGAGGTTAGGCAATGACAATCGCCTTCTCTTTATCTCTGCCACTGTTTCTCTTTTTACCTCACAAACTCACCCTTTAATCACCTTGAGTTCTTTCTCTTCCTCCTCACGCTCCCTCTCTTTGTCTCAGGACTAAACCTGCTGACTGACGCGATGGCACGATGATCATTTTAAATGACAAATGATAACCAGCAGCACAGTATAAAGACATGTTGCTTTACACTGACTTACACCTTTCACTTCAGAACAAAGCAGATGCAACTGAACAAAAAAAAAAAAAGAATCACCAAGATGACTCAGTGGTCACATGAGTATGGATTAATCTTTAGACTTCGTCATCATCAAGTTGTCATTCACTCCAAATTTGTTTGAGTGAGACATTCAGGGACAAACGTACCAATTTTCCAGCACATTATATAAACACACTGATATGATGATAAGTCATAACTTGATGGACACAACTACTTACATGCATTTGTTTAGTTTGTCTGTACTGAGCCAGTTAACTGAGATGTGGAACCTCTGATTGACAGCTGATAAAGATGGTGTTTGACTGTGGGGAGGAGAAGATTGACGTCGAGCTCATCTCGCTGTGCATCAACCTGGCTGCTAACAGGAGTAACGCCCAGCTCATCTGCGAAGGTACAAACTCCAGAGAAGGGATAAACAGACATTTTAACCCACCCTGTGTTTTTACCTTCTAAAATGTATTTTCCTCCTCACCTCTTTCCTTTCCTTCGCCTTAGGTGCTGGTCTGAAGATGCTGATGAAACGTGCTATGAAACTGAAGGATGTTCTGGTGATGAAGATGATCAGGAACCTTTCTCAACACAATGGACCCACTAAGAGCCTCTTTCTGGTCAGTAACATCAGTCCTGTTCCAGAACACAACTTCACTATCACATGATTGTAGGTTTTCATTGCTGTAGTCTGATGCACTTTTTTTTGAGTCCCAACAGAACACACATCATCTTATAATACACATAGTGGTGGAATCACTGTAACATGCTCTTTCCAATGATAGTTTCCCAGTTTATTAATGCCAAATCATCCAGGGAAAGTGGTCTGTACATCCAGCTAATGCTGTGTGGCGTCCATGATATGGACCAAACTGAATGTTGTCAGGTCACAGGTCTAAGGTTAGAAGCATTACACTTCCAGTTTATGTCATCTATTAATATGGTTGTTGTGTCAGTGTACAACTGGGAAACCTGTCGTAGAGTAAGTACAGTATAGTACCACTGATCTGTAGCTGTTAGTTGAATGATATACTCAGGTTTGTCTCTGTAAGCCCCAGGTGTTAAAACCTCACAACGATCAAAGGTCATTCTGTGTAATCCAGTCACGTTGCTCTGTCTGCTGCTAGGACCATGTCGGAGACCTGGCAGCTCAGATCAACGAGGGCGAGGCTGAGGAGTTTGTGATCGAGTGTCTGGGCACGCTGGCCAACCTGACCATCCCTGACCTGGACTGGGCACTGGTGCTCAAGGAGTACAACCTGGTGCCCTACCTGAAGGACAGACTCAAACCAGGTGCTGGTGAAGGACCGATTCCTCCATACTTGAACCATCTACTTGGAAGGTTTAATTTAAAATTGTCAGAATACTTTGACAGGATCTTATAAAGCCACAGTATTACTCACAAGAAGATACAGCTACAATAATGAGTGAGTAATAAGCCTCCAAAATGTCTCTCATCTGTCCCTTTAAACCACAGATCAGGTCTCTCCCATGCCCTGTCTTAACCTCTAACTACTTTCTCTAAATCACACTATCAGTGAAATGTCAGGGGACATTGATGATGCGAAGACAGAGCGCTCATTAGGGGCTGGAGCCTATCTTTACCTTTGGTGACCGCTGACCTCCTAACCCTGGCTCTTCCAGAATCAACATGAAATCCCACCATTACAGTGTACAGGGCCTGGCAGTCTGAGTCCCCAGGATAACCAACTTTTAACATGCAGTGCTCTTAGAAAAAGTCAGTACATTTTTGTTGTGGCAGAACTACTTATTCCGTGAGTCACCATGGAGAAATCTGTTTGGGACTGTGCACTGCACTGCCACGATAGATTTACAAAACAACAGCACAGAGTAGCAACCGAATAAAAGCAACTTAATAAAAGCTCACTTTATTCAGTCCGTTTTATTTGTATAGTGCCAACTCACAACAACAGTCATCTCAGGGCGCTTCACATAGTAAGGTCTGGTAAGTAAGGTGTGTTACAGAGGGGAATCCCAACAAACAAAACCACCAAACAAAGATAGAACATAAAAGCCACGTCATAAGAAAAGTCAAACACTGAGTGTATCCAGACAGACTCTCTCTGGTCTGATCATGTGGTGCATCATCACCACAGGAGAAAACGCTCTTTTTCTTTTCCTTGTTATTTTTTTAAAGGATATGTAAAGTGTAAACGGTGAAGTGCGGGAAAAATGATGTGCATTGCTGCTTATCCTGGTTCTGTCTGTCTGGTTCTGTTCGGGTCTCCCACACTCAGGATCAAGTTTTATTATTGTTGGTTCTTCTTTGAACTGGGTCCCTTTTGAAAAAACAAACTGACGCACGTTGGGTTTGGGCTTGTTTTCCATGGTTTCCCTTCATATTAACTCCACATTTCAGACCTCTGTGTGGACTCGCTGAAGCCCATAACAAGAGCCCCGTGTTAAAAAGTTCCACGTCTGTCCCTCTGGTTTTGTTTTTCAGCCTGGTCCAGTGGTACTTCTCCCACTGTTTATAGATACAACTCTGTATCAGCTGATTTTTGATACTAGTACAGATACAGTATTGGTTTTAGCTCTGTTAACAAATCTAGTTTTTTGACACTGTACTTTGAGAAACCTGTAAGCCTGTTTTTCATTTACCAAAGGATCCCAAGTTGTGTCGGTGTCTAAACACAAGCCAATGAAACACTTTGCTAACATTTGGCCTAAATTTGACAAAACTGTCCTTTAAATAAAGCAGCCGTTTAGAAAAGAATACACGGAGAACAGTATGAATCTAACTTGACATTCCTTGCTGGCTGTCGGTCGTTGTTTTGATAATGATGTTACAGCCACGTCATCTGATAGTTTCCCAGAATGCACTGGGATTAAGACCCAGATATCCAAAGCCTGAAGTCTTGCAGATGTTGACCCATACACAGTTACAGAACCTGGATGCGTTCCCTGGCTCAGCGCTCTGTTCTGCTCCTACTCAGGGCCAAGGGTTTGAGCGGATCAGTGAGGATTCTTTGCTGGCGCAGTCACACACACTCATCGTGTACTCTTCCCTGATGTCAGGTTCTGCTGAGGACGACCTCGTTCTGGAGGTGGTGATCCTGATCGGCACCGTGTCCATGGATG